TCGTACTGGGCGAAGAACGCGTACAACCCGGCTTTCTACGGATTCACTTCTCATCTTGTCGGAGTTGTTGACTCAGAATGCAAGTCCCTGTGCCATAACGCGGGGGTCGACTTGGTCGACTATTCTCGTATCCAAGACGAGAGACGGGAGGCTATACGGAATAAGGACAAGAAGAAGTCACGCAAGAAGTCAAGTGAGGGCTCGCGACAAAGCAGACAGGCGACCTCTTAACAGACAACCCGCCCAGTCCCCCAGACTGGAAGCTTCGCGTGAGGTTGGGGCTTGAAATTATAGGGCTTACCTTCGTATGCATGCATTACGGTTGATGTCGCTGTCTAAGGGTTGGTTTATCTCATGAATTGTTAAAGGACGTTCGGTATTGCACAATGCGCTACTTTTGGTATTCGGGTGTATTTTGTGAGTGATGGAAAACGGGGATCGGAATATATACAACAACTATCGGTCTATGGCGTTTTTCGGTTGATCTCCGGCCTCTTTATGTATCTTCCCTCCGGCGTCACAAAAGGCCGAATTAGACTAAAGCAGTCCCTCTCCTATTTGGTTGTTTGCCTGTGTATAATGCTTAATAACATGTACTGCGTGCAAGCCACCGTCCAGATATTCGGACTTACATCATTTTATTTTTTTTTCTCGCTCCCGTCGACCCGCTCCTGTCCGTGGACGTTCTCATCGGGGAATTGGTGTATTTTTAACTTCTGTATGGCGATTTGCTAGTGATGAACGATGGTTCCCGGATCGAGTTTGAAGCTACGCCGCATGCGGCTGGCCTGTGTGGCTGAAAGTTTAAGCCACGCGGCGATCAGGGTAAGTTAAGCTTCCGTACCTGCCACCTCGTATAAGGCTGACGCAAGCTGCTCTTCAGTCTGTATTGATCGTGTGATCCTGGTTGGGCCAAATGACATCTCAGTGACGTTCAAGTTCACCACTGAAATGTAGCTTGGGCAACGTTGACCAGCATGTCATCACTGCAACAACCGTGCCATATCATCTTCCAGGACACGCACAAGGACAGAAGCTGCACTGCGCTTGCTGTCAAATCATGTTGACTGATGGTGGGGTGCATGGGTCCCCGAACGCTGCCATCATGAAAAGACTCGTGACAGCCAACTCGTCATTTGGAAAGCCGAATAAAGCCTGCGCCCCCTTAAGAACTCCCATGGTTACCTGAGGGACTTGCGCAAGACACCAAAATCTAAATGTATAAAACATCATAACGTTACAATAATATCTCGAGTCTTGTTTATTCCCTAACTACAAATACTTGCCGAAACAATTGCCGCTTCTACCTTTACGCAATCTTCCACTGGTGTCCGGTTCATGACGTTGCTCTTCCATTTGTAGGATGGGTCTAGTTACAACATTCTGGCCGTGAGTCAGTAGTAGCCAAAGATGTTGCTCAGCCTACGCTACCTAGATAGTATAGAATCTAGTTGACTAAATCCTGATCACCAGTTGAAATCTCATGGCGGGCAATGCCACGTGCTGGGAATGAAGGGGCTCCCCCAGGACAAATCTATGTCGGCAACTCTCCTACGTCATGGTCCCAAATTTCCAGGCTCTACGAGATAAAAGCGCGCTTAGAGGGGCGAAAGCTACGCTGGTAGCTCCTGCAGAATAGATTGTGGAGGTCTCGGGTGGTTGCGGATGGTGGGTTTAGACCCTCAATTTTCTGTATCTCCGTTTGCGGCGCGGTGGTTTCATCGACCCAGTTGACTGCAGATCCACCCCTTGCACCTGACCAACCGACAAGGGAAGAAAGCAATGACTCTATTTGTTGAACTAACCTTCAGGAATTTAGTCTATGTCGTCAGTTTGTTGATTTGCTGAAGATACAGGCGGGGAAACAACAGCACCCCTCTCAGGTCCAGACCAATGGGTAAACTTCTCATTCCAGAATCCCCGTTCCCCACATTCTTGGTTGTAATGACCTTCTCAGGAGCACTGTTCTCAATTTCAATGAGGCTTGCTAGAATGCGGGTGCGCCATCTGTCTAACCTGTCACGGTGCTGTTCATGGATGACTGTAGGCAACATGCATGACGGCATCGTTAAATATCTGCCGTGCACAAGGCCCGTGTGTCATGGCAACGCAAACGCATTGTTCTAGTTCTCGTATATTTACCTCGCCATAGACAGCCGTCTTGGTAGCTGTCCAGCTTGAAGGGAGGCGTCACCGCTGACTCGAGGTGGTTGTGCGGCTTTAGCAGCCCTTTCTGATTCTGACACTCGAGCTTCATAATCATATAAGCAATTTCGAGAAATGGGAGTAGATCGGTTAGGGCCGGGGAGGCAACACAGCCCATATGATCATCCTCCTATGAACCCTGTGCTGGCCACGCCTCTGTATGTCCTGGGCGGGTTTTTTGTTGTTCTATTCCTCAGCCGCTCTATCATAAGGCTACGACACCATCGACGTCTGCGTGAGATTTTCCGGCAAGATAAACAAGAAAAGTTCGCTCGAAATGGTGCTCTTTCAGCCTTTTTTAACAAGCATGTCTTTTATGCACCGTTACTGTCGCTGCGTCACAGTCGCGAGTTTCGCCTTCTGGGCCGTATCCATATGGGGATCATCCCACTACGATTGGAGGCTGTTCTACTGCTCTCATACTTTGTGCTGAACATCATTTTCTTCTTTGTACTTGCCAACTGGTGGTCGGGCTATGATGAGACGATGTACCAACTCAAATATGCCGCTGGCCACCTTTGTGTGATGAATTTGCCCGCACTTGTTCTCACTGCTGCTCGTAACAACCCCCTTATCCCAATGCTAGGGTTGCAGTTTGACACATTCAACCTGATGCACCGATGGATCGGGCGTCTCATCATTGGCGAGGCCGTAGTTCATATGGCTTGTGTGGTAGCAGGGAAAACCAGAGAAAGTGAGTAAACCGTGGCATCTGCCTTAACTTTATTGGATGACTAACTGGTATCTAGTGAGTATGTCGGAGTTGACACATGTCCTCTGGAACACACCCTTCTTCATAGAAGGATTCGTTGTAAGTCTATCCCTGGAGACAAACTTGTCGCATAAGATTTAACGGGGCGGAATGACGGCAGGCTTTGATTGCGTTCATGGTGATACTGTTCCAGTCCGCATCTCCCATCAGACATGCCTTTTACGAATTCTTCCTTCATCTACATATCCTACTTGCAATAACGTCGTTTGTGGGACTCTGGTATCACCTCCGTGGATTGGCTCTGCAAAATGTTCTGCTGGTCACACTCATTATTTGGGGCCTTGATGTCAGTCTATACCACTTCCTTGCTCCTTTTCTTTCATCGCAGATTTGAGCTCAATCGAAGTCAAGGCTAACATACCTTAACAGAGAATTGGGCGCTTGGGAAGTATCATCTGGCGCAACTTTGGGCGACAACGGACCATGGCTACCGTGGAGCTTCTTCCTGACGATGTAGCTCGCGTTGATATAGCCCTGGCGCGGTCATGGACATTCAAACCCGGGCAATACATGTATCTTTACATGCCTGCCCTTGGTCTCTGGACATCGCATCCATTCTCCATCGCATGGACAGACGACCGACCAAGTTTAACTGAAAAGCGCGGATCTAATGATTCGCTCAGCATGTTGCTGGGAGGCTCGCAGCGTGAAGTTATGTCCTTTCTAATTAAGCGACGGGACGGATTTACAAATAAGCTTCTCGAGAAGGTTAACAAGTCGGTCGAGGGAAGATTCACCGCATCCGCTTTAGTTGAAGGTCCTTTCGGTATGTCGCGCATATGCTATGCCTTCCCGAGGCTTTGCTGATTATCTATGTAGGCGGTCTCCATTCCCTATCTTCTTACGGGACAATTCTTCTAATTGCAGGCGGTATTGGAATTACGCACCCAATGTCCTATTTGCATGAGATCATGAGCGGATTTTCCCAGCAGTCAACTGCTGTTCGGAAGGTCAGCCTGATCTGGGTCATCCGCAGTATTGGTAAGTATGCCCGGCGCACATCAAAGCAACCTCCGCTGATGTTCTTCTAGACCATCTGGAATGGATCCAGCCGTGGATGACATCTCTTTTCAACCATCCGGCGCTTCAGGTACCGGACGAACAAAAAGGCCCGACATACTTTCAGTTCCCCGAATTAACTCTTTCTATTCAAATCTACATAACGTTAAGTGAAAGCACGGACGAGTACTCACTCGATGAGAGCCCTTGGACCAATTCCGCACCTCCAAGCGTACCAATTAGCGTTGTCTTTGGCAAGCCATCATTCGACCAAATCCTCGAAGGCGAGAAGACGCAACAGATAGGGGCGATGGCAGTCAGCGTGTGCGGACCAGGCGGGATGGGCGACGACGTTCGCAAATGCGTTCGGGATAACCAGGGGACGCAAACTATAGATCTATACGAGGCGTCGTTTTGCTGGTAGACACAGATATTTGCTTTTCTTGTTCACTTAGCTGGTCATTATCCACACTACTGATATATCCTGTTTCGAGCTCTAGCTTAGATTCTACATTGAAGGTCAATGTTGCTGATACCCGATGGTACACGTGCACTGCATAGTACTACATAGCTCTTCCTGACGGGGGCAATTTCAATTTCCAAATATCTACTGAACTCCAATAGGGCAATTACGCCCGTTTCCCACAGCTGATCTGCAGGATGCTCAACCAATTACATGTGTGAGAAGAGACTCAGCTTCCCCCTCACAGCAAGTATCACTCCATATGGGGTAAAACAGCTCCCCAACTGCAGCGGTGACGGTAATCCGACTCGGATTTCCGCAACGTCGGCAATCGGTTTTTGACCGACGGCAATTGACCACACCGGAAGTATAAAGTATACCCCAAACACAAGAACAATCCGGGATACAAACTCCAGCATACCAACCTCAATTCCTCTTCCAAAAAGGAAACACCCAAATAAAAATAACCCTAGTGGAAACGCCACCAAAGAAAAAAAGAAAAAGAAACAAAAACAACCCCAAGAAGGGAAGAGAAGAAGCGAAGAATACAGCCCACCCAAAATGGCACCCAAATTCCGCATTCTCCACATCGGCGACAACATCAAATACAACCACGATGTGTACGCTCGCTTCTCCTCAGAGTTCGAAATCATCCAGCCTAGCGCCGAAGAGCGCGAAAGAGAAGAGTTCATGCGGGCCCTGAAAGAGCGCCGCTGGGGTGACTTCCACGCCATCTTCCGGCCCTTCTGGAACACGGGAGGCGAAATGGGTCGCTGGGACAGAGAGTTGATTCCGCTTTTGCCCAAGAGCGTGAAGATCATGGCTTCCGCCGGGGCTGGGTATGACTGGGCGGATGTGGATGTCTTTGCTGAGCATGGTATGTGTCTCTTGTCTCTCTCATTCTTTGGCTGTCTCCATTTCCCGTTCCGCTTTTTTCATGTTTACTTTCCCATTTCCGGCGTGCCGGGTTAGAGCCGAAGAATGTGACTGGGGAATAATATATTGTGGGGTAAA